GAAAGGCAAATTTTAGGTGAAAATGACCCATGAACTTTGACCTCAGGTCAAGGTCACTAAAGGTCAATGGAAAAAATGGCAACATCAATTTTCTTGTTCTCAGGACTCATAAGATTACATTTATAATGGTTGCCATAAATTAACATGACATGCCAACGGAAGTACATTGGCCCCCCACTAAACGTTATTTACATTTTTATCAATGTGTCAGCATAGAAAAATAACAAGTACTTTGAATCTAGCTTTATTTACATTTACTCGCCCCTATTCTGAGTATCACACGTAGTCCAACGGAGCCCCCTCTTATATATGTAAGCGTCAGAACTGTACGATCCCTCGCGCTAGCTGATAATTGGAGTCGACATGACATTATTTTTTTTAAATCTGGACTAAGCTGTTGATTGGTCAATTTGGATGCCATGTTTTTGTGATACAACAACTGGCATAGAGATCTTATTAACCCCGACATTGGCTTTCAATACGGGTTACTGAAGGCCCGATATATAGAAGGCGCCCGTTAAATGGGCAGAATCTTGAGCTTAAGACGCAGTCTAGCTGCATAATTAATTGCCGAATCTGCTCACATATCATATAACCGTGCTGTGCAAGGGGATACTCTTTAGACTAGGCCCCACATGCATAAGTCACATTCTGTCTTCTTCGTATTCAGGGCATTCCCGGTTGGAAGGGTGCTGATGGTGTAAACTGTCCTGGCTCTCAGACTTGGATCACTTTGAGGGATTGGCCGAAACCTTATCAGGTGCCTGATAACAACTTTGAAGTCTGGGTGCGAGGTTGCGTAAATTATGGGATTGACGCTGCTGTTGCTGTACAAAACGACGGCAAACCAGGGCACGAGCTTGTAGGTGGATTCCGAAGAGAGCATTAGTGAAACGGCTGCTGGCGTGAAGCAAAGAAGAAATGCCAAAACGACGTGAAGCAAGTTCTTAGTGACGTTAAGTTGTCTCCTAGAGATTCGTTTTCTCTCGTTGCTCTGATTCTTCCTGTGGCTGCCATCGTCTCTTGTGACGTCTTACGGACGTAGCAGAAAATGGAAATGTAACAGATAGTAATAGTAATTAGTTGTGTAAGGTAGTAGATTCCTGCAGTTAACATACGATGGGTTCTGGTGTACGGATTTGATCGGACCCAAGTGCAGAATTTGAACAGCTTTTCGTAGCCCATTTCACCAAAGTCTGTCAGGACAGGCGTCAGGGCGCAAACGAGCGGTATAGCCCAGGAGAAGATGACCATCAGAGTGAGCTTACGGGCGGTGTAGATGCGACGGGTGGTGGAGCGAGACTTGGTGATGCCCACCCAACGGTTGACGGCGATCAGAGCCAGGTTGTTCATGCTGCATCCGATTGTGACCAAAATGACGAAGGCAGCAGCAGTACACACCCATGGTGCCCGCGGTATGGGCCACTCGTCCCCTCCCAGGACCGCCACAGCCTGCCAGGGCAGAAAGAGGCAGGTCAGTACGTCTGCAACGGCCAAATTGACGACGAAGACGTTTGTGACCGTCTGGAGTTTCTTGGATAAACCAACGGCGATGATGACGAAGCTGTTACCAACTGTGCCAAGGATGACAACAGTGATGACAATTGCCACAAAAATCTGTCTCTCGTAGAAATGTTCAAAGACCAGAATTTCTGGTTCACTTTCTACCACTGGACTAGACGTTGTATTATTCATTTTAGTGTGAGGAACTAAATTAACTCACAAGTAAAAGTTGACAATGTCTTTACCAAGCGACAGTTATCATAATGTCAAAAAGAATCCTTCTGAATAGTCATTGGGTTGCAAGTTCAATAGAGTTGTCGTTATGGCACCATTCTCTGTCTCCGGTATCACTAACCAGCAGCGTGCAGTTCTGTGTACTGTACCGTATAGCGCAGTTTTCTCACACCACGATTCGAAAGAATTTATGGTAAATGATGGTCATAATGGTATGACTTCAAACCGGGTCCAAATGAACATGATTCATACGCACTTTGTTGACGTGCGCCCTGTATAGCATTAATACCGTGAGCTGCCAACTTTATGTAATACAATTATTATGAAATATATACGGGTAACTTTATCTTAATAACTGGTTGACAAATATGTGAATGACCAATAGAATTTTTCATGAGAGACAATAATGGTCGTTTTGACTGATTTCAATCGAAAGTTGGCAATTGAAAAGTTGCGCGAAGCCAAGAATGAACGCCAATACGACGTACATCAATTTCTTGGTGACGTCAGGTTGTCTCTTTCATGTAACCGTTGATGTGTTTCCTTGTGTAGCGGCCATCGTCTTTGGTGACGTCTTATGGACGTAGCAGAAAATGGAAATGTATTTGATACTAATAGTTATTAGTTGTGTTGGGTTGTACATTCTTGCTGTTAACAGACGGTGGTTCAATTGGCCCATCGCCAATTGCAAGTTAGCCACGCCCCTTAGAAAACCCTATGGAGTTTTGTACGTTAACTTTTGTTTGTATCAGATGTTGCGCGTTCCGCGTCCAGTTGTCTATCATGTAATTGGACAATATTTCACAAGCTGCGTTGATGCGATTCTACCGCGATAGGTTAATTTTCTTTCTCCTTACTTTACGTTGTGGGATGGTCTGTTTAGGCCTGTACTGATGGTATTACAACTGATGGTCCACGCCAGTTTGTGTTCTAGTTTAATACATTTTTGGGCTATGTTTGTGTCATCGTCGGAGCCTTTGCCATTACACACCATCCTCTGACGCTTGATGGAACATACCATTAGTTTAAGTTCTTTTATTAAAAAAAGAAAAACAGTTACATGGGATCGCGGAGAAATTAGTTCTTTTCAGAGTATAATTTAAAAGCTGCGTATTTTTATACCTTTCCGAATCGCCGCCACTTGTCATTTGATGTGCGATAATTTAAACACAGTACATGCATACGCATTTTCCAAGCAAGCGTGAAGTATGGCTTCATTATGATAATTATATCACCTTTAAATTCCACATGACTCAGTGCAGGCTCAGTCTGTTTGTGTTGAAAAACATTTACTGTAGGGCATGCATGAAAATGATTAATAAAAGGACGGTTGAGGGCGCTACGAACAATTAATGAACTGCAGAAAACGTGACACAGCAGACTGTTAACCCGTTGGGTGTAATGCCAACGAAATGACTTGTACAATAGGTGGCGCTTTGCTACGAGCAATATCTCTAGTCTGTTGTACCGTGAGGGTAGAATTATCACGTGGGCGTATTGATCGCGGCATCTATAATTTTTCCCCGGAATATTGGATTGCATGTATTTTGTACAGGCTATGTGGTATTCTGCTAACGGATTTTGTCATGGAAACCGTACAGAACTCCTCATTATGGTTACCTTTTGTTGAACATGTCCTCCTTAAAGATCAAACCGATATCCATGCTTGAATGTATTCATGAGCTTCGGCATCAATGTTGAACCGTTCAGCAAATTCGCTCGTTCATTATTGCTATATAAGCGGATGCAGGAATAATGAAAGACGTCTATAAATCTTTTTTTTTTGTAATTCAGAGAACATATAAAACAAGAAAACTTTAAATGTGGTCTTTAGAGCGACAGCCCATCCCACCTTTTTCGGTTGTGTGACTTAGATCCGCAACGTGTATACTATCAGGATTAATTTGAAGATTATGTCATATAGATCCAAGATTTTGTTTTTCAGCTTTGTTGAAATGCTTTGTACTCTTTTGTCTCCAAGGCTTAAAAGTGTTTCTGTACGGAGAAGTGTGTATACAAGTGTGTATACATTTTGCATTGAGCACAATGGCTTCTTAACATATATTTTCCTATTTTTAAAAAAAAAGGCTCCTTAACACCACGTATGGCAACTTTGAGGTATACATTCAGAGAAACAGAGGGCTCTTTTGTTTTGTAATTCAACGTGTACTTATATTATACACACATCCAAATAAGCAATGCAGATTGTCATGTACATGATATTACTACAAATTTGTTTAACAAATTAATAAAACGTTTAAGTCTAGGCTGGATACAACATCACACTTGCATTTCAGTGACAAGATCGGGGACTACTTTAATGGACGTGCTATCAGCTGAGAAGAGATGTTCCAAGAACAAAAATATTTGCTTAAAAGTTTCATAGTATGTACATTGCTTGTTACCGATTCTCTGCTTAACACATGAGTTTACCGAGCATTACTTGCAGCGTATTTTATGAAATTGTACCAAACTGGTCATTGACCTATTTTCAGCGCTTGGTGTTACAATTGCTATATTAACTCCTACATTCTCATTATTTTTCCGCACAGTTTACAAACTCCTACAAAATGCACGGTCAGCTTTTGTAAATGTAACACACTTTGAAAAACGTCAAAATCGTTCAACTGTCGAGTGACATAAACGAGGGAAATGCACTACCCGGGAGGCATGGCAGTAATTATAAACTTCCATGAACTGATAACTTGGTAAACGATTGCTCGCTCAACTTGTCTGGACGTAAATCGTGAATGTTAATGATTGTGCCACAAATGTTAAAATTAGTGTCTGCCTTGCGAACTGTGTTGATAATTCTAAAGAATTTCAATAGAAACTAGAGGCCTGTGTGTCTGTCTGATGACAGCTCTTTTCCGCGGAGTTTCAATGATCTTATGGTTATACTTCGAAAACAGTAACACGTGCATTTATGTAAAAAAAAAATTGCAAAGGCGTATTGGAAAGAATTGTGTTGTTTGTTCCATGTGAAAATCCATTACAAATCACATGATGACGTCATTGTGTGCACGTTAGACTATTTACAAGTTGTTGTTTTACCACGATAAGGGCAGTATACTATGATGCTGCGGTTCCCTTTAAGGCATACGTAACGCTATTTGTACAATTTTGTAAATATGTGAGCATAGAAAAGTACCAAATCCTTTGATTTTAGCTTTATAAGTGCTACCCAACCATTAAATCCTGTAACACTTACGCCCCTCTAACCCCCCCCCCAAAAAAAAAACCACCAAAAGTAGGTCTATGGATTAATTACATGCTGTGGTCTTCGTTCTCTGGGCATTCCTGGTTAGTAGGGTGCTAATGGCGTATACTGCTGCCCTGGCTCTCGGACTTGGATCACTTTGGGGTATTGTCCGACATCTTCGCCGACACATCAGGTGCCCGATGACCTCTTTGAAGTCTGGGTGCGAGGTTGCGTAAATGACGGGGTTGACGCTGCTGTTGCAGTACACCATGGCGACAGCCCAAGGCGCGAATTTGTAGATCCACTCGGCATCCGTTATTGTTAGGGCAACGAAACATGGCGTAAAGCAAAGAATGAACGCCAGGACGACGTACACCAAGTTCTTGGTGACGTCAAGTTGCCTTTTAGAGATCCTCATCCTCGTCGCTAGGTTTCCTCGTGTCGCCTCCATCGTCTCGTGTGACGTCTTACGGACGTAAAAGAAAATGGAAATGTAACTGATGGTGATCGTTATCAGCTGTGTTGGGTAGTAGATTCCTGCAATAAGCATACGGTAAGTATTAGTGTACGGATTTAATCTTACCCAGGAACATAGTTTGTACAGCTTTTCGTAGCCAAGTTCACCAAAGTCCGTTAAAACCGGCGTCAGGGCACAGCCGAGCGGTATAGCCCAGGAGAAGATGACCATCAAAGCGAGTTTACGGGCGGTGTAGATGCGACGGGTGGTGAAGCGAGACTTGGTGATGCCCACCCAACGGTTGACGGCGATCAGTGCTAGGTTGTTCAGGCTGCATCCGGTTGTGAAGACAGATATGAAGGAAGCAGCAGTGCAAACCCATCTCGCCCCAGATATTGGCCAGCAGTCATCTCCTCCCAGGATCGCCACAGCCTGCCAGGGCAGGAAGAAGCAATTCAGTACGTCAGCGACGGCCAAATTGACCACAAAGACGTTGGTGGTCGTCCGGAGTTTCTTGGATGAAGCAACAGCGATGATGACTAAGCTGTTACCAACTGTGCCAAGAGTGACAACAGTGATGACAATTGCTGCAAAAATCTGTCTTTCGTAGAAAAGTTCAAAGACAAGAATTTTTGGTTCATTTTCTACCACTGGACTTGACGTTGTATTATTCATTTTAGTGTGACAGTTATCATAATGTCAAAAAGAATCCTTCTGAATAGACATTGGGTTGCAAGTTCAATAGAGTTGTCGTTATGGCACCATTCTCTGTCTTCGGTATCAATAACCAGCAGCGTGCAGTTCTGTGTACTTGTACCGTATAGCGCAGTTTTCTCACATCACGATTCAAAAGCAATTATGGTAATGATGGTCATAATGGTATGACTTCAAACCGGGTCCAAATGAACATGATTCATACGCACTTTGTTGATGTGCGCCCTATATAGCATTAATACCGTGAACTGTCAACTTAAATGTATTACAATTATTATAAAACATATACGGTTAATTTTATCTTAATAACTGGTTGACAAAATATGTGAATGACCAATAGAATTTTTCATGAGGGACAATAATGGTCATTTTGACTGATTTCAATTGAAAGTTGCAATTGAAAAGTTGCGTGAAGCCAAGAATGAACGCCAATACGACGTACATCAATTTCTTGGTGACGTCAGGTTGTCTCTTTCATGTAACCGTTGATGTGTTTCCTTGTGTAGCGGCCATCGTCTTTGTGACGTCTTATGGACGTAGCAGAAAATGGAAATTTATTGATACTAATAGTTATTAGTTGTGTTGGGTTGTGGATTTTTGCTGTTAACAGACGGTGGTTCAATTGGCCAATCGACGTTTGCGAGTTAGCCACGCCCCTTAGACAACCGTATGGAGTTGTTTTACGTTAACGTTTGTTTGTATCAGATTGTGCGCGTTCCGCGTCCAGTTGTCTATCATGTAATTGGACAATATTTCACAAGCTGCGTTGACGCGATTCTACCGCGATAATTTTCTTTTCCTTACTTTACGTTGTGGGATGGTCTGTTTAGGCCTGTACTGATGGTATTACAACTGATGGTCCACGCCAGTTTGTGTTCTAGTTTAAAACATTGTTGTGCTATGTTTGTGTCATCGTCGGAGCTTTTGCCATTACACACCATCCTCTGACGCTTGATGGAACATACCATTAGTTTAAGTTCTTTTATTAAAAAAAGAAAAAACAGTTACATGGGATCGCGGAGGAATTAGTTCTTTTCAGAGTATAATTTAAAAGCTGCGTGTTTTTATACCTTTCCGAATCGCCGCCACTTGTCATTTGATGTGCGATATTTTACACACAGTACATGCATACGCATTTTCCAAGCAAGCGTGAAGTATGGCTTCATTATGATAATTATATCACCTTTAAATTCCACATCACTCAGTGCAGGCTCAGTCTGTTTGTGTTTAAAAACATTTACTAGGGCATGCGTGAAAATGATAAATAAAAGGGCGGTTGAGGGCGCTACGAACAATTAATGAACTGCAGAAAACGTGACACAGCAGACTGTTAACCCGTTGGTGTAATGTCAACGAAATGACTTGTACAATAGGTGGCGCTTTGCTACGAGCAATATCTCTAGTCTGTTGTACCTCGAGGGTAGAATTATCACGTGGGCGTATTGATCGCGGCATCTATAATTTTTCCCCCGGAATATTGGATTGCATGTATTTTGTACAGGCTATGTGGTATTCTGCTAACGGATTTTGTCATGGAAACCGTACAAAACTCCTCATTATGGTTACCTTTATTGAACATGTCCTCATTGAAGATCAAACCGATATCCATGCTTGAATGTATTCATGAGCTTCGGCATAAATGTTGAACCGTT